TCTATCCTTTTTAAAGGCAACGTATTTTCATCTTCACGTTTTTCTTTTACTCCTCTTAGTTTGTATCAAAAAGCTTTCTCTCTCTTTCCTTGAGCTATCCTTTATGTTCTCACTATGCGTATCATCGTCTTCTAAGAAAACTACATGGTAACTCCCCCAATGATGATTAATTTCTTTTATTCACATGGTGACAAATGAATTTGCAATGTATAGAAGACAACCTACAATAGGCAATGACAAGCAGCTAAGGCATTATTGAAAAGTATGATGGTCCTCAATTGTTAAAGTAGTACTTACCTTATGTTTATAACCTATAAAATCTCCTTTAATTTTTTATTTATTTATGTTAAATAAAATTAAAATAAATTGACTTTAAAAAATCTACTTAAAATCAATCATGGTAATCTAATTATCCCACTCTTATTCGAGAGCCAAATCAAAATAGAATTATTTAAATGTTTCAATTTCAATTTACACCTTCATTTTCAATTTAATTTTTTTTTTCAAATGATAACTAATTTAAACCAATATAACTTATATTGACCCCTAGTCAACTACTAACTCCATTTGGTATAAATTCTATATTCACATTTTATCAAAACCAAAATACTTTTTTTCCAAGTGGACTCATACGGGCTGAGCTTTCCACATCAATTACCATCAATGTTTTCATTCACTTAAATAACCAATACAAATTATTGAGTTTCCATTTATGGACCATTTTGTTAATGTATAAAAAACATATTATAATGTATTTTGATTTTAAGAAATTATTTACAATAAAAAAATTAAATTATAAATATATATATGCATTTTAAATGTCAGAAAGACCTCTTTCTCTCTCTCTCTACATCTCTATATCTCTACAATAACAAGGACGTCAACATTTGTAGAGTCAGGTGTGATCAAGGAGAGATAGGGGCTAGAGGTGTCATGGTTTTGGATAATGACAATAGCAACGATGTGAGTTGTGTCAATGATGATAGGCTCGTGGTACAAGACGACGGTGGTTGAATACTTTAAATTGTTAGTTATTGATGAGCAGCTCTAGGTCAAATGTAATGGTTGTGACAAAATAGGATCGATAATAACAACATTAAAGTTGCACGTAATGACTATAGTGATATGATCGCAGTAATAGACTCAGGGATCATTGCTAATTATGAAAAATTTCTAACATTTCATAATAAATTTGAAATTCATTCAATCTTACAAATTTTGAATTCCATCAAAAATAAAATTTAAATATTTTAAACTCATAAAATAATTTCCATAAATTTACTTCATATCAAAAATTAAAAAAAAAAACTCATATAATAGTTTTTTTTTTTTACACCCCTGATAATTGCAACTAAGAAGCACCTTCATGAAATGCAAGCAGTGGCACTCGCTATCAAAATAAAAAAACAAGCAAGGATGTCACAAACTTGGTCAGGCAAACAAAGAAAACAGGAATATGGTACGACCAATCAGTTTGCATTCAATAGTGCATTGAATTCATTTAACATTACATGACAAAGAAAGTCATCAAGTTTGAGACAAATTAATTGCATTTGTTAGAATTTTAATAGCACATAAATTTTAATATTTATCTTATCTACTATTTTGTTAAGTCTATTATCTTTCTCTAGTGAGCTCCATCAAGACTTCCTTTCTCGATTCTATTAATGCATTGCCACTGATCATACTTAAATTTAATTTAAAATTCAGATCATACTCCACTGATCTCGTCGCTTTCATCGCAATGAGGAGCACTATCCAACTGTGTGCGATGAAAGCGACGAGATCAGTGGCGTGTGAAGTCGGTTATACTGAAAGGATTGACGAATTGCGAACACATAATATATGGGAGATGAAATATGTTTTGCATGTACAAGGTAAATAGTATATTTTGTTGATATTTTAAAATTTTAAGTGTTACGTGAATAAATAATGAAAATTAGATGCTATGTAAATTTAACATTTTTGAATGTTATGCATGTAAATCACCTTAAAAAACATTATGAGTGATGGCCACCTCATTTGCCAGCAAGGCCGATTGATTTAGCGCACTCCATTAGCCATACTCAATTTTCTTCTCACATTATGATGATTGTGTTCATCTCATAATCAAAATTTTGTCATTAATTGATGAAATCAAATGGGTCTCAAATTGCACACCGACAAATATTAGATCTTAAATTAACTCCATTCATATGTCTTAATCACATCATTTTTTTCTTTGATTGTCATTACTCCTTAGTGTCCAACTTGGTACAAAGAGATGATTAAGTCTTTAATTTAGTATATAATATTATTTTATAATCAATGAATGGCATTATATTGGCATTTATTCAATGTAGTGATTTTGATTTGATTCTGTTGCGTCATGGAATATTCATGGCGATAGAGAAATATGAAGTTTAACATATTAGTTTTGTATGAAGATCCAACACACAATCAGATAAAAGAGAGGATGTAGCGTTCATAAGAGACCACGGAATTTTTACGTGGAAATCACTAAAAAGGGGAAAAAATATATGGGGCATTGCCCAGATTGAATGAATCCACTAGTTTTTGGAGTCAATTACAACTAAGGCGCTTCCTTGGGGGGAAGGGGATGTAGCAAATATACATCATATAGAGTGCATTACATGGTTGGAATTGGAAGTATCAGTATTGGCATGTTCGTTTGGTTGGAAGGACCATAATCAAGGGGTGACGAAGGTCGAAAAGATCGTAGTCAGGTGATGGTGGTCAGAAGGATGGTAGACGACGGTTGACGGAGGTCGAAAAGACCGTTATCAGGCGATGGAGATAAAAAAAATCATAGTTTGCGGATGGAGGTCGGAAAGATTGTAGTCGGCAAGCAAAGGAGTTTGAAAAGGCTGTAGTATTGTGATAGAGCTTGGAAGGATTCTTAGTTGACATGCGATGGAGGTCAAAAAGAACATAGTCTTGCGAATAATGTAGGAAGAACCGTAGTTGGCAGCCGACGGAGGTCATAAGTGTCGTTATCTGGCGATGGAGGTCGGAAGAACCGTAGTCGACGGGCGATGGAGGTTGGAAAGACCGTAGTCTAGCAACAGAGGTTGGAAGGACCATAGTTAGGGGCGACAGAGGTCGGAATGACCGTTATCTGGCGACGTAGGTCGAAAGGGCTGCACTCGGTGGGCTACAGAATTCAAAAAGATTGTAGTCTGGCGTCGATTCCCGAGAGGAAACCCGACAATAATCGATGGTTGGACTTAAATCCAACAATAATTAGTGTCTGGGCGGAAGTCCGGCGATGGTCGGTGTTCGGACATAAGTCCAGTGATAGTCGATGGTCGAGTCATGGCTGAGGAGGAGCTTGGTAGCAAGAGAGATCTCAAATTTCTCTTCCTCTCATCTATTCTTTATTTTCCTTGCTCCCATGCTTCCTCTCTCCTTGCTTCCTTCCCCTTCATATGAAGTATGAGCATATTCATAGTTTTTTGGGAATGGCATGGCCGATAAATAAGGAGGAGATCAAGGGCATGTTGGGAGTGTTTTGAATGGACAATTGATATCGACTCCTTTGATCATGGACCATTTATTGAGTATTTGAGTATCTTAATGATGTTAGAATTCGATGATCTTAGACTTGTTGGATTCATCTCGTCGAGCCGCTCAATTCTAAGAATGTCACGTTTGGAAACTGTTTAGTCATCCAAATGTGCTTCAGGTCTTCGATTTGAACTCATTTGGGCTCATATTGGGTCGAATTTAGTGTTGATGAATTCATCTTTTGAAACATTCAATTCGCCTATAAGTTTGCATAAATCAGAGCTTAGATGATCCCAAATTTAATTTTAAAAGTTTCCAACTAAATCTGTCCTTGAGATTGATACCCGACCATGATTATCTTTTCGACGATATATCCGATTGGATTTGAATTTCAATGATTTCAACTAAAATTATCGGTTTTAGATCTAGTTTTAATTAAGGCGCCATTGAGATCACTTCCTATTTATATTTTTTTATTTTATTTTATTTTTAATATGAAACAAAAATATATCTAATATTTAAAATAAATATTTTTTAAGTTTTACTGATATTATATAAAATGATGATGACGGGCGGAAATAGCAGTTAATGATGGTGGTAACTAATGGTTGGATACAACGGATCGTATATCCGGAGTGATTTTCATTTCAAAAAATGAAAAATCATAAAAAAATAACTAAAAAAATAAAAATTAGATATAACTTTTAGTAATAATAATAATAATAAGTGATCTCAAACAATTCCTAAGATTTTGATGAAGCTGAAAAACTTTCTCCTCATACTCACAATTTTCAAGAAACTCTAATATTTTTAATGAAAAATTACTAAACTCATAAGAAATAGTCAAATTTCTAATATAATTATATAATCAAACTGTCATTAAATTTAATTGTATCATAACTTAAATCTAAATTAAATAATTCTAATTATTCTCATCTTAAATATATATTTTCAATACTTTATAACAAATGACTAACTAAATTCACAATCTAAATCATCAAAATAAAAAATTTTATGATAATAACTAAAATGAAACCAAAATCAAATTTTGCAACATAATTTATAATTAGGGCTTCAGATTGCTTTCTTACTTTTGAAAGTAACTTTTTTAATACAAAAATTAAAATTTATGTACTAAACAGTTGTCTTAAGAAGCATCAAGAAAGCTGTCTCAAATGAAGCCTAAAGTTTTGTTTGGGATTACTTTCTTACTGCTTCTTGAAGAAGCTTTATAGTATAAAAATTTAATTTTTATACTAAGAAGCTGATCAAGACGCATTTAAAAAGTCATCCCAAACGATGCCTAAGTATATGAAGAACAAGATCTAAATTATGTAATTTGATGAAAAAAATTGATTTCTAGAAGCAAAAAAAATAAATGAGACTATTTTGATAAAAAAAAAACTCAAAATTAAAATAATGTAATAAAAAATTTATTTATTATTTCTCTCCTTGCATTGATCAGTTGGTCAAAAAAAAAGGAGGCATGGTTGGTGGGTGCGAGAGACAATGAATTAACTATATTTTTTTCTCTGTTGCTAAGGCCAAGAGAGACAGGGCATAGGGAGGCAGGCAGCTCTGTTATTTTTTGAGGAGAAAGCTCTCACAACCCACACGAGGGGTTTCATTTTTCAAATAAGCCAGGCAAAGCCCAATGCTCCCAGACTCGCTGTTATCAGTCTTAAAGTAAGCAAATCACAGAAGAGAGAGAGAGAGAGAGGAGGAACGTGTAGTTTTCTTCTACTGGAAGCCGTTTCTTTTGTTTCCTTAACCCTTTTGCTCCTTTATTTATTTCCCCTGGTTGGTTTCTTGCTCCCAAGTTCTCCAGTCATTTTTCTTCTTTTTCGTCCCTCTAATCTTCCTTTTATAGTTTTTTTTTTTTCGTTAACAAAAGCTGAATTATTGAAAGATCCAAACTTTGAAGAAACTAATCCTATCCACGGTGTAGAAATGAGTTTATGGCAGCAGAGATCTGAAGCTCCAATGCTGTTATTGTCTTCTCCTCAGTCGCAGCCTTCCTTTTTCACATCCTCTGTTCCTCCTTTGGAGAGAGAGTTCATGAGAAGTGAAGAAGGATGGAGTTTCAGTAACAGCCATGATGATCTGCAAGTGAGTGATGGGTCCATGGAGAGCAGAGATCTGGAAACAAAGCACGCTAAGTTGTGCACTCGTGGCCACTGGAGACCAACTGAAGACACCAAGCTTAAAGAGCTAGTGGAACAGTTCGGCCCCCAGAACTGGAACCTGATTGCTGAAAAACTAGAAGGAAGATCAGGTAAAAATCACTTCTTTTTCCTCATTTCTCCATTTTATCTATCGCTCTGGTTCTTTTCAAAACTGGATTCTTATGGTGTCGAGCAGGAAAGAGCTGTAGGCTTAGATGGTTCAATCAGTTGGATCCGAGAATAAACAGGAAGGCCTTCACAGCAGAAGAGGAGGAGAGGCTTCTCTCAGTTCAGCATCATTACGGCAACAAGTGGTCTCTGATTGCAAGGTTCTTCCCAGGGAGGACTGATAATGCTGTGAAGAATCAGTGGCATGTAATCATGGCTAGGAAGCAGCGAGAGAACTCCATTTCATATAGAAGGAGAAGGATCGCTTCTTCCACATCTTTCAATCCTTCTATTCACCTCAGAACACTGGAGCACAATACAAGCAGCGCAGAATCCACCATTACAAGCACCAGAGAAGAGTCTGTCTCCACTGCCACAACCAGGACTGTTCATGGCTTAGTTCTCTCTCCCCAGCAGAAAAAGGCCAATTTTTTCATCATGGGTATCTCTCGTTTGTCTAGATTTCTTCAATGATTTTGAATAAAGCTATTATTTTTTTTTTCTTTTTCTTTAAGCTCTGTGATAAATGAATGTTATGGGAATCTCGAGGACTTATTCTGTGCTTCTGTTGAAGGTGGGAAATCAAGTGTCGATCAGATTGCCTTATCTGATTCAACTTCTAAAGCATCTGCAACAGAATCAGTGGTAATCAGGGGAGCAGAGCTTGAGAGAGGGAGGATTAATTTACCTTTCTTTGACTTTCTAGGCGTTGGAGCAGCTGAGGAAAAACCTTTAATGGTTATTAGAATGGGCTCGGAAAAGGCAGACTACCAGCAGAAAATATGTTTTGATGGAGACTTCAGTCCAGCCTATGTGTAATGCATAGAGAGAGAGAGAGAGAGAGAAAGAGAGAGGAGTTTGAGTGAAAATATTAAGGTAACAAAAGTAGCAACTTTTTGTTCTCGTTGCAACCTCCCCTCAAGAATGAAAACTTATAATGGTATTTAAGTTCTTAATTGTATCAATCAACTCATCCAAGTGAAATGATGCCTTAAGGAGCATTCATTTGTGTCTATATTAGAGTTTGTCACATAAATTTTAATGAATTTAAACCTAAAAACTCATGGTGCGACATATATGAAATTATGATATATTTTCTAAGGATCTATAGATAAGCACAATATCAGAGCCCACCATTGATCTCAACAGCGTTGCGGGGGTGACAGCTCTTGCAGTATAATCCTTCCTTATTTTTGCACATATATTTATATTCATATAGTTAAGATTAATGATTATGTTATCTTTTTATATCTCCTCTGCACATAACATTTTCTCTAAAATATGAATTATTACGTGCAAAGACCGAACAAAGATAATCATCGGTTTGTCTTTATGAACAGTAAATTGTTCATCACTATGCATTTACTTGCACAGAGACAAATCCAAATGGTTCTCAGTGTCCGATCTCCACACGTACTAATCTCTCATTTTGAATAGCTTTCTCACTCCTTCGCTTTTCAGACCACAATCACTGTTTTATTTGACTACTATTTTTTCACTGTTTTCAATAAAATTTTGTGCTGAGAAATTACGTTTTACAACAGCTTTCAAAAAAGTTATTTTTTCACAATAGCTTCACAATTACATTTACAAAAAGTTACCGCCCTCTCAAAGATGGTCTATAATGTTATTACCTATCTCTCATTATTATTCAAAACAATGAGAAGAGTTAGGTTTTTGTAAGCTTGACTTGAATGCAAAAGTTTTAAGAACGTGTAGAGTAGATATGAAAGTACTGTGGTATTGATTTGTTTTTGGCTCTCCAAAGGGTTTGCTGAGTGCGATGATTTCAATCCATGGGTGCATCTGATGTCACAGGCTTGTGAAAGCACATGGTAGGGCTACCAGAAAGTGGAAATTTCATCAGTTTTGAATCTTAACAAGCATGTTTACTGCTTCACTGCAGACTCTCTTCCACAGAAATATTTAAAATAATTTTTTTCATCAAAAGCACTTTTTTTTCTTCTTCTAAGTACTTTCTTGTCGAGCGTTCTCTGTGCTCATGCATTTGACAAATTATTAGCGGCTCTTGATTCGATTACATTTTATTTAGGATTACTTTTTTATTATTTTGATTTTTTAGATCGCAATCATAGTTATTATTTGCCACTATTTTTTCGTTGTTTTTTTTTTATTATTTGTACTAAGAAACTGTTTTCTACAATATCTTTAAAATTTTATTGTTCTCTATGACTTCGTTTGGGACGACTTTCTTCCTGCTTGTTATAACAGTAAGAAAGTCGTTCCAAGCAAAGCCTATAGAAACTTCACAAAGTAGTAAAAAAACTGTCACAAACAAAACTTAAAGCTCGTGCATGATAATGTCATTAATTAATGGAACAAATTAAAATATTTTTAGAAGTACTCGATTGATGAATAAGTAAGCTTGAACGGTCATGAAATTTTTTGTCTAAAACTCGTAAACAAGTTTGTTATGAAGCTTGATTATGAGCTTATTTAAGACTCTAGCATGAATTTATTTAATATGTGATTATATTGGAGTTTTGTTATATTTATATTAAATAGGTTTTGTTCATGAATATAAATTGTTTGCTTATGCTCTTTAAAATGTTTATTTATTTGACAGTATATTCAATTAAAGCCTCATTTTTAAGCTCAATAGATTGCTCGTTAATAGACTCAATAAGATTTATTCAGCTGAAAAACAAACTCCTCGACAGTGTCTCGTTTGATTAGCTGGCGAACTGAGTTCGAATTATGCTCAAACACCCATAATTTTAAATGAGCAGAGCTTGAAAATTACTGCAAATATTCGAATCAAGTTCAAGTTCAAATAGGGCTTGGCAAATGAACTCAAGTTCGAGCAAGCTACTGCTCGGTGCAATTAGGTTTATTTGCAATAGTTATTAAAATTCAGTTAATGAGATCATTGTGAAATGTTGACAACTACTTTAAAATTTAATAAAATTTAAAAAATATATGAATTTCAGTTGAAATATTGTAGTTTCACTCAAAACTCAACTGAAATGTCTCAATTTCCTTTGATAAAGAGAGGGAAAAAAAGTACTTTAACAGTTCAAACCAAAATAACTGAAATTTAAAACAATGTTCTACTTGCACCAATGGTTCTGAAAATATCTTATGTGGCTCTTCTAACTGAAAAACAATTTATGCTTGAAGGCAAAAAGCTCTCCTTGTAAAAAAATAGTTTATAAAATATATGCTAAAAAAAACTTAATATAATTTATCATGTTTATTCAATGGAGTTTTTCTTGAATGAAATAAGAATTTTTAACCTATTCGCTTAGAAAGGAGAAACAAAACCAAGGAACCAAAGGGCTAAGACGATAGTAGGTTCAAAATTTAAGTCTGTTGTATGCTACAAATTTTGGGTAGACAGATATAGTGTTTCAGGTCTTAGCAATGTACAAAGATTCAACACAAACATATAAAAATGATAGTGCCAGAGAATTTTTTACATAGAAACCCCGGAAAAGAAAAAATCACAGGGACAGACCCAGTTGCAGAATTAATTATGTAACAAGTGATATAAAATTTCTCCTTTCTTCATTGTTGAAGAAGAGGAAAATACAAAGATCAACAACAATTGGATAGAATCTTGACAATATTCTAGAAATACTGATAATTTATGATGTCGATCATCAATGATGATGGAGGTTGCTGGTGGTCATCAACAACGATGAAGACTGAAAAATGTAAGACAAAACTCTAATTCTTCTCCTATTTTTCTCTCAATTTTTTTCCTTTTTTTTTCATTGAAAAATAAGGGGTATATTTCTAATTTTTTTGGAGTGACATGGCTAGCAAATAGGAAGAAAATCAATGACATGTTGAGAGTGTCTCAATAGATGGTTGATATCAATTTCCTCGATTAGGGACCGTTTGTCGAGCATTTGAGTGTCTTAATGATGTCAAAATTTGGTGATCATAAGCTTGTTGGATTCATCTCATCGAGCTACTCGTTTCGACTGTAAACATATCACATTTGAATATCATTTGGTAATCCAATTTATGCTTTAAACCTTCTAGATGTGCTTCAGGCACTCGATTTGGCTCCATTTGGGCTCGAATTGGACTGATGTTGGTGTCATTAGGTTCATCTCTTCGAGACATTCAGTTTGAATATAAGTTTGCTGAAATTGGACTTTCTCAGCCGAAAATTGGGCCCATAATCAAACTTGGCTTCATAACCAGCAGGTCGACTGTTGGCCGCCGACTGTCTTCAGCAAACCTACAAGTCTGTGCGTGCACACCAAGGAGCGCACCCCTTCCGCAGTTTAAATCAGTTACCACTAGCAATTTTAAATTTTTTTTAACACGAAAAATCTGAAAAAAGTTTGAAACGTTTTAAAAAAAAAAATTTCTATAATCCTCTTCCCCCTTTTTTTCACCTATAAATACCCTTTAGGGGTAGGGCAAGAGCGCACAACTTCCTCTTCTTCCTTTCTTCCTCAATTCTTCTTACAATAGAAGCATTTCACTATCTTGAATAGGCGGCATCCTTATCAAGTTCCATTGAACCTCTTTGGGTAGAAGAAATTCTTCAAGTCTTCCATCTCTCTCTCCCCCACATTCCTTCTGATTACTTTAGAGGCATTCCACATTTTTTTATAGGTTGCAACCCCTATCTCCTCCTAACATTTATTCTCCTTATCTTATGCATTTCTTCTTATATTAGAGGCATTACACAGTCTTGGATAGGCGGCATCCCTTATTAAGCTCTATGCCCCTCTTTGTGTAGGAGTTTCGATGAGAGATCAATCTCCCCCCTAACTACCCATGACAAAAAAAGATTAATCACCTCTTGCACAAAATGATGGTTTAAAGAGATTTGGTAGTAGAAGCACCCGGGAGGAGAATTAGAGAACTTCAGCAGACGCTCAGAAGTCCAACGATAATTGATGATTAGTAAGAAAACCAGCAATCTTAAATTGATCATTTGATATGAAGAAAGTGTAACATAGGTGATTAGTTATTATCCTCATATTAGCATTCAGGTGGGGAGCTGAAGGTGATAGTCGAGATTCATTTTATTGGATATAGCATGCCGACAGAGGTAAATGGTGAATATCATGATTGAGGGGATCAAATATTGTGTCGACTACAATAATTTAACAACACACTCATGTTGCCAATTAAGTGGATGCATGATGGTGTGATGATGATTTGCAAAGAGTTTTGTGATGTGTTAAGTATTTCCCCATAAAGTTTTGATATAACATGTGCTTCTCTACTATATAAGCTAATAAATAATAATTGTTGCGGTCATTATGAAATGTTACCCTGAAGAAGCAATAAAAGGAGACGTGAGGGATTCGTACCTGCTTTGATACCATGAAGAAGTAAAGGTATTTTGATATATCTCAAAGCTTGTATTTGTACAGGTGATGTAAGTTTATATGTATGTAAAGGAATATTCTGGATTTTGCATATGTATGTGTGTGATGCATGACACATGTAGGTGTGTGATGCATTTGTTCGATTATTGATAGTGGAGGAGAGCTGTCCTTGAGTGTTTAATTTCAAACAAAAGGAAAAAATAAAGGCAAGGGCCCCGCTAAGTAGACCGAGTATAATAGAAAAATAAGTTTAAATTTTTTTTGCCAATCATTGTATGTTTATTTTGTTTGGTGAATAAATAACTTTCCTAGGAATGAAATGTTGAGTTAAGAATTTATAAGCGTATAAAAAAAATATGTTCAAATTTCTCATTTAGATCTTGAGCCATTACAATTGAGGGATCCCGACTTTCACCATCTAATAAAGTCTCAACTTGTGTAAGAATAAATTCTGATTCAAGATGTTTTAGGTTATATAGTTACTAAATTATTGTTCAACAAATATCTAGCCTTTAATAATATAAAAAATGGAAGAACTCACAACTAAATTATCCATTCTCAAACAATATGCTATTAAATGAAACCCCTAAGTAATCATTGATGAATTTTAGCTAAGAAATATATAATTACTTTAT